AGCCGGGGCTCGAACCGGCAACCTTCCGATTACCAGGCGAACTCCCAACTCTTGAGCCACGATCGCCCACAACATTATCATCCTTCCGACAGACAAGGGTAGGTGCACAGAATGGTCAATGGTAATTTTATTGTCCCCATTGGGAAATTGATTTGCAGTATGCCCATATATATATATCTATGTCTATGTCTCTTTGTCTTCACTGCAGGTACTTTATAATGACGACCTGATGGAAGCAGTTAAAAATCATTAAAGAGAGGATGATCTGAACACAACAAGACAGAGGTTGCCTTCCTCCTGTTATAAAAGTCCACAAGCTGAACCTGAGACCTCCCTGAAATCTGACCAGCCACTTTAACCAGGTTGCTAAGTCTGGTCTTATTATTCAAGGACATACTACCATACCAAGCAATGATACAGAAGGTTTAAACAGATTCAATAAAACTTTTATAAAAAAAGAGTCATCATTTCAGATGAAACATTAAAACCTCTCAACCTCCTTAAAAAGTACAGTCTTTGTTGAACCTTTTTCACTGTAGCAGCAAGATGAGACTCAAAGGACAGAGCCTTATCAAGAACAAACCCCAAATACTAGATAGAAAGACTATCATGACAAAATTTTATCACTGCTCAGTGATCAAAATACTTATGAGCCCCTGAAACGAGACCCAGGAAGTGGCTACAGGAAGGGTGATAGACTGTCTGAAGCAGTTAGAACAAGACAATTCTATTGACCGGACATCATACCACAGGCTATACACAGGGGAATCTACACCAAGTCTGTATGGTTACCCTTTACTGAAGATACATAAACAGGGTGCACCGATTGTCTGTATGATCAACTCGGTCACCTATAACATCTCCAAGTTTCTGGCTTCGATCCTCAACCCGCTGGTGGGCAGCTCTGAACACCACATCCAGAACACCCTGGATTTTGTTGAGAAGGTGAGAGATCGACCGGGGAAGCAGAAGAACAGCACATCAAGAAGGCCCTGAGTAAATGTGGTTATCCAAGCTGGACTTTTGTCAAAGCTGGGATACCTGCCCAAGCGAAAACCTGTAGTGATCCCATATGTGTCAGGAGTATCGGAGCAGTTGAGACGCATTTTTTCTAAACACCGGGTCTCTGTGGCTTTTAAACCCCAAAACACGCAGCAACAAAAATTGGTTCATCCCAAAGATCGGGTCCCCCGACACAAACAGAGTAACACAGTGTACGCTGGTAAGTGCCAAGAGGATTGTCAGGATTTATACATCGGGGAAACCAAACAACTTCTGGCGAAGCGGATGGCACAACACAGAAGAGCTACCTCGTCAGGCCAGGACTCTGCAGTCTATTTACACCTACAGGCCAGTGGACACTCTTTCAAGGATGAGGATGTACACATCCTGGACAGGGAGGAATGCTGGTTTGAGCGTGGAGTCAAGGAGGCCATTTACGTGAAAAGGGAAAGACCATCTCTGAATTGAGGAGGGGGCCTAAGGGTACGTCTTTCACCATCTTACAATGCTGTGACTGCAGCCATTGATCAATGGCCATGAGAATTTGCATAATTAAGATTAAGGAACTGACCTCCCAGCCCATTGTTCTTTCAGTGGGCTGCTTTCAGTCATTATGCAAATGTACTGTTTATAAGATTGGGGAAACCTGCAGTCAGCTGAGACTGAAGAAGTCACTTGGATGAGTGACGAAACGTTTCTCCCACAAAACGCTACGTCCAGATGAACAGAATCAACTTTTGGAGATTTACTTACCTGGATGATTGAGCATGCACCAAGACGTTTCAAAATTGTACCACTCTCCATTTTATTTTTATTTATTTAATAATAAATTAAACACTAGAGTGTGCTGTTTTCTAATAAAATCATTATTTTGTGACACAAATTCTACAAAGTTTCTTTTGATTTACATTCAAAATGTGAGAAATTTGCAAAAACTAACCTACTGATTAATTGTTGCCATCATTAATACTGAGATGTGTGTCAGTGTGTTTACCTTTTCTGTTGTAGTTTAGTTTGGTGGTGACTTCAGTGTAGAGCACAACTGAAGGGTCGATTTTACCTGCAGCAAAAAACAAATCAGAGAGCATTAAAATCCTGAAATCATGAGATTTTTTCAAGGTGGATATGATGAAATAAACTGAAAGCACAGCTGTGTTTAAAGTTAATTGTGAACCTTTAGTATGCTAAACCTGGGCACTGAAACTGTGACAAACATTTGAAACATTACTATACAAAACATTATTTCATTAACTTCTTTAAAAGCTAAAAAAAAAAAAAAGAGAGAGAGTAAAATTCTTTTTTTCATTTACAGGGGAGTGCTATCTTTCCATCTGCTGACCTTTGTGGGTTTTCCAGAGACTGAGCAGCATTACTGAAACCACCAAGAGGTAGATGCATACCACAGGATGGAGAATGTGTGTCAGGCCAGAGTGAGCCAGCTCACGGGGCACTAAAGCAGAAACACTTCAGGTTATCAGCAGTGGGGGAAAAAACAAGGCTTTCTTTACTCACTTTATATTTATGTGTCTCTCATTTACAGTAAATCATGCAATGAACAAAGTGGAGGATGCTTTTTTAATAGCCAAAAACTTTATTGGGAACACAAAACAAAAACAGCTCCCATGACTGCCTCACATATTTTATCCACATAAAATACAACTACACATACATGACATATTCCAGAGCAACCAGAGAGCATTGCTTTTGTCAGAGCTGTTCAGAGTAAAGTTGAAGTTGCATAAAAAATAACGTAATAAAGAGGGGAAAAAAATTATGCCCCCTCACCCCCGAGACTGACAGTCAGCAGGCTGTCTGGTGATTGTCCAACTCCAGTGATGTTACACTTGTAGAGGCCTTCATCTGATTTGGAAACCCTGTGGATGGTCAGGTTTCCTGTAGAGCTGCTCCCAATAATATCATCATTTTTATAGAAAGTAGAAGTGAAATTGGAGGAGGAGTCTGCATTGTGTCTACAGTGGAGGGTCACAGTGTCTCCCTCCACCACAGGATGGACAGGACTTTCCAGGATCACAGAACCAGCTGAATGACAAAGATGTCAGAGAACAAAATGAGTAAATCAGCATATTGGAGTCTACTCTATTAGTTCAATCAGTTTTGAAACAAAGAGCAAGGTTTCTCTAAATTCTCCCCAATTAGACCAACAAGTGTTGCTCACAGTTTTGCTGCAACATTAAAATTAGTACCAAATATCCTTGGGCAAGATAGTAACCCCAAGTTGGAATGTGATGAATTTCAGATAGAAAGCATTTAAGGGTGAATGAGGCATGTTATATAAAGCCATTTGAGAGCTCCAGGAGAGGAGAAAGGTGCTATATAAAAATCAGTTTGTTTACCAGACCTTTTGAGAAGCTCATGATGAGAATAGTTTTTGATAATGTGGGCAAACACTTGTTAGGAGGCTAAAATCCAATGTGGACATCTGTAGTATGCAAGCATTTATGTCCTTAGGATCGAAGAAGTCTTTAACTGTACTGGACATGTCGACACTGTTACCAAGAAAAAAAGGAGGCTTGAGATGAATTTCTTAGGAAGGACATTAACAAACTGTCAGATTGTGTAAGACAACAAAACCAGGCAGAGAAGGAATACTTAGTAAATGTATGAAATTTGATTAGATTAACGTAAAAAGACAAAATAGCAAATTAAACTTTGTCTTCCCCAATGTTTCTGTGGTTGCTACTGAAAAAAGGGCAAAAAAGGGCAATTAAGATTTGCAACAGATGTCTCACTAGTTATATTACATTTTTTGTGTTTATGGTTGAATGATGAGTAACTGTTGTGTATCGCACAAAAAAAAGAAAGAAAATCTGAACCTTATTTGTTTAAACCTACCTGCCACAGTGATGGCGACAGCATCAAAGCACTCGCCTGCTGCAGACTCACACCAGTAAACTCCACTGTCTGTTGGATAAAGGTCACTGATGAAGCATTGAGATTCATCTATTCCATTTGGGGATGAGGGACATGTTGTGTTCATGTATAAGGGCGTGTTCAGCTTAACTCTCCACTCAGAAGAGTTTTCCTGCCCCCCGCAGCTCATAGAGAAGGACTCATACTGGAAGAACTGTAATCTGTCAGGAACAATTCTCAGAGAAGCTGCACAAAAGAAAAAAAAGGTGGAAAGGTGAGATTTTTCTTTTGCCATCAACCAGCCATTTAGTCATATGATGGTTTCAGAAAACCAATCACAGTAATTCAAGCTTCTGGCTGAAATATGTGTTTCATTACTGTTAGAAACAGTTCAGAGATATAAACATAGATTTGTTTTCCAGTAACACTGCAGCACCTGACTCTTGCAGCTCTAGTAAACAACATTAACCGATACCACAGCAGAAACTGTTGGTTTAGGACATGATAAGCAACCTCATAAGAAACCACTTCCTCATTACAGACTGGGCTAAAAACTGAAGTTACTGAAGTTACTGGAATGTTATCGACAGCACAAATCAATCTCATTATTTAGTGACTGAAGTGGATTTCAGACAGTACACAGGTATAAATACAGTACTCACCAACAACAGCACAAAGTGCAGCGACTTCCATGGTGCGTGGCTGCTGATGTACTGACTGGCTCAATGGCAGCTGAACAGTGTTAAGTCGCGCCTCTGTCAGAGGCCACAGCTTCCTGCTGGTGTGGAAACATAATGTGTCACAGCTCATCACCTCACTTCCTGACTCCACTCTAATTAAAACTTTTTTTTTGTTTATTTGTATTTACCCACAATAAACTTCTAATAGCTTAAAATGTCTCAGTGACTCTAACTCCTTCTTTCACACTTGAACAGGTAGCATTAGGTTGAATGTGTGTCACAAAATATTTTATCTCTACCATCTCTTAGACTGATTTCTGTGGAAGTCTTTTAGCATATTTTGAGAAAAGTTGACTCAAGACTTATAACAAATATATCCACTCACTCTCACTGGCTCTGTTTATTACTAATCACTGTGTAACTGCTGTGAATTCACAGTAACTGCCATCTCCTTACAAATGTTCATTAGATTAACCACACTTATACAGACTGTATATAACTACCAACTCTCCAGCCATGTTGACGGATTGCCTATACTGGCTGAAAATCTTAATTTCCAGAGAAAAGACACAGACAGACGATGCTTACAGGATGTGATGTGACAACACTAATGAAATATTGATGTGTCATATTTGTCCAAGGCGTATTTCATTGTTATGGAAAAAGAAAACATTAAAATCATGATGTTCAATTGGAGTGGTGATTTCTATGACTTTGTGTATATAATGTGGCATTTCTTACTTATGTAGGCCAATAATAAATACATGATATCATTTCATTCATTTCAAAGTTTTAGGGTTTGCTGTTCCGAACGCCCGCGCATTTCCCCCGGCGCTTCTTTGTTTTGCGCCTCGGGTGAGCGGTCTGTCCGTGTCCAGCCAGGACGGGTCGGGTTTAAAAGTGTTCAAGATTACATGTGCAACCTTATCACCAACGTTTAGAAGTGATCTGCTGTCGTAGACTATAAAACTAGAGGATTTTGGGATGTAAAACAGAGCAAAAAATTGGTAAACAACTGAAAAGCCGCATAGTGTGAGCGGAGCCGTCAGGAACGCGTCTGGACGTGACCGCGCCATCTTAGACCTAAAATATAATTTTCTGTTGTAACCCTCAAACTGAATGGTAATGTAACGATACTTACTTTTCACAAAAACAGCACTTTAAGGGTACTTCCGACAGCGGGAGCGACGTGTTCTGTTCGGGAGTGCGCGCTTTGGCCCAAACCTGTGCACTGATAGGACGCCATTGTCCGTCAGATTTGACAATTGTAGATCGTGAACTGCTTCCTTCTCCGTTCCATGCGCTCTGTGTTTACGTCAGGGGTGTCCAAACTCCTGGCCGCGGTCCATTTTTAATTGGCCTGCAAGTAATTTTATAAATAGAACAGTATATGGCCCGCACTTCAACTTTTACTTGAGTGTATTGCACTTCTTAGTTTTAACACCAGGGGGAGCTGCTGTTGATCAAGGCAGTTGCTCCACCAAAAAGGACAATCACAGAAGAAATTTACCCCCAAGTTACTAAACATGGCAGAACTAAAGAAGCGAAAGGTAGAAAAGTGAGTGCAGAAAATTTCAGGCATGGTGGGAGAGTAAATATTAATTCAAAGAATTCAAGGGGAAGTGTGTCTGTTTGATCTGCACCGATGGATGCCATGCAACTATGGCAATTATGAAAGAGTATAACGTACGACGTCATTATGAAACCAAACATCAGGCCTATGCATCCTACACTGGTGCTGAGCGAGAGCAGAAATGAAAGCAAATGGTAGCTCTCCTTCAGGGGTCAGCAACAGTCAGCTATGAGGTCGCCCAACTCATCGCAAGACATGGCAAGCCTTTTTCAGATGGAGACCTCATAAAACAGGGCCTCGTTAAAGTCACAGAAATAATGTGCCCGGAAAAAGTGCAGGACTTTAACAACGTCAGCATGTCCAGAAATACAGGTGTGAAACGCATTGAAGACTCGTCAGCCAACATTAAACTGCAACTGTCTGATAAAGCTGTGCTTTTGATTTTTACTCCATCGCATGCGATGAGAGCACCGATGCCACTGCACCGCACAGTTGCTATTTTTTTGCGGGGAGTGGATGAGAGCACGAGAGCTTTAGGTGAGTAAAAAATATATTCCACAGTACCCGTGTGTTAATAAGCATGCATGTGCAGGTGCACATGCTTCAAATATCAATAATGCTTTATTGATAATAATTTACTAAAATTATGCACTCCTGTTATTAAGTCCAGTTCAGTCTGTTAATGTTGATAATCATTTCAAATGAATGTTAATAGGTGTGTTGCTAAGCCTAATAACTTAAATAATAAACTTGAAATGTACCCGTCCCATTTTCCCCTTTATTGTTTTTTCTCTGTGCTGTAAATCTTCAGTCTAAGAAGAAATCTGAGGCTGCTGTTCTGAGAATGAGCTACCAAAGCTTTTTCTGAATAAATCAATAAAGATCCATTTATGGAAAGCTGTGATTAAGGCAGTTTTGTCTTTAATTATATTCAACAATATAACATATTCGACCACTTTTAAGTGATTTTTTCTAACTTTAATACAGTAAAGTTAAGGATATATGCCTAATTTCTAGTAAGTGGCCCAGTCCCTCCTATATTTTTATGTATGTGGCCCTCAGTGAAAAAAGTTTGGACACCCCTGGTTTACGTATATACTCTGTGGCTTTCCGTCAGTGACTACTTCTACTACCGGGGCAGGGGTCATTCAACTGCAGCTGTTTAAAAAATGAGCTTGAAGGGAAAAATAAAATCTAATTTGGTTTTGGTCCTTGCTTTTATATTTAATTTGTTTGTATTGCAGTCTGGCCGTCAAAGAGAAAATACTTTTGAATACTTTTGGAAAAAAAAGTGTGATTGTGTGTCTTTTTTTCTTTCTTTTTTTTTTAGACATAAAGACCTTTATATTTTTTTTAAAAAAAGTACACATAACATTATACAACATGATAGTGACACACAACACCACTTTTTTCAGTTTTTATTGCAGAACGACATGCTCAAAATCTGAAATTTTAGCTGAAGTTCGTTCATTGCTTAAAATATGAAAAAATGGCGCCACCTGGTGAACAAATGAAAAAATAACATTTTAAGGCCCGGACTCCAAAGTGTCACCCTAACTAAAAGAATTGCATTGACCCTAGTTAAAATGATCGTGCAATGAAAAATAGCGTTTATAATGGTTTTCAATGGGGCAAAAATCGACCACGAGGTCCCTTAGAGGATGTGTGTCTGCCATTGCCATTTAAACCTTTAAGGAAGTAAGACTGATATTTAAAATAAAATTAAAAATATATATATTTTGGAAAATGTGGCTATTATCCATTCAACACAGTGAAAATGGCTTGAAATTAAAAAAATGCAAAGGCCACGAAATGGTCCCAAGTCCTTTCAAAATTTGATGATATTTTCTCAAGAAAGAATCTCTAGCATCATCCAAGTTGCTCTAAAACTAATGACACTGACATCATTATCAGACTGAAATTGTGCTAAATGTCTATAATTGTTCATTTTCTACTATTGCTAAATTCAGACACAAAATTGAAGGAACAATTTCTTTCTTTAATTTTCTATTGACAGTTCAATTCACTTCCTTCAAAGTACTCTCATTTCTTTTGAGCATTAACCTTTGGAGCTTCTTTAGAGGTAGAGCAGAACAGCTGAAAACAGTAAGATGTAAATCAAAGTACAGGAAGTATGTGTGTCGAACCACAGTGAGGCAGCTCAGGAAATCCTGCTTTAAAACACAAACACATGAGGATAGCATCAATGCAAATAAAAAATAGTCTGTGTCTAGATGACTGAGTTTATATTCATTATAAGCTATAGTATTATTATAAATTATAGTACAATGTAATGATGTCATCAGTGAGTGCGAGTTGGAACATGAGTGAGTGCGGGCTAACATAAACAACGTGGGAAGAGAGACCATGGGTTAGCAATTGCAAGCTTCATGTAAACAGCTAAACTGGAAAATAAAGTTTCCAAAAAGAGAATTGAGTGATATGATATTATGTCACAGGTCTTATGATGTTACAGCATGTTGTCATGTCACAAAATGAGATGTTGTTAGGAAACTGGAAGAACTGAAGAGATTTATGATGGAACATACAGACAGTAGTATGTCAACAACTACGAGACAGAATCTTTGTATGTATGTTTGCTATTAATAATATGAGATTATTATCTAATAATCTCATATTATCCGAATCAGAATCATATTATCACATTATATTATCTAATAATCTCATATTATTAGATTCCCCCCATAGCCATTCATGTTATACCAAAGTAGTAAGTAACAGATAAACAATTAAATGTAAATGTAATTAAATGTAACAGTAAATTTCCTGTTTACACTTTCTAGTACAGAAATTTCTTCTAAAGTAAAAGAAAAATTTCATCAACGAACAAAAACTTTATTCTTTTAAATACAGGACAGTCTGGGAGCAGACGGATCTTTTTTTCTGTAATTTTGCATCCTTATCATGTAGAAAAACTGAGATGTGCTGTTGAAGTTGCATTTATTTATCTTATATTAAAATTTCTCAGGGATTAAATGTGTAGTTAAACATCTTTACAGTGACAGAAAGTGCAGTTTCATTCATTCATTCAGCCCACTTGAGATCAAAGTGGGCTGTATGTAGCCCTTGGTGTAAAATGAGTGTGACCACTAACACATCCCTGCTTCAAATGCCAGCGAACAAAATTCATTGCTGTGTGCAAAAAATGTATTTCACTGTTTGCTATTATCCATATACACACACAATAACAGCCCCTCTCACTCAGTTTTTGCATTTACTCTTGCTCAGATCTCTGCAGATCTCCCTCCAGTGTGTTGCTCGCACTCTCAATATCTCTGCCCCTGCACATTCAACTCTTTCTGTACAGCGTTATATTTGTGCCACAAAACCAACCAATCACAGACTTGGATGCAAAAATTCAGATTGGCTGTTTTGGTCTCCAATCAGCTTTCTAGCTACTGTAGCCAAACCTAGGCAAATATCCCAGATACTAGTATCCTAGTATCCTAGTTCAATTCTCTTCCTCCAGAGTACTGTCATTTCTTCGAAGCACTAACCTAGCTAGAAGAAATCCTTCTAGCACTAGCTTATTCAGTGACAGAGCAAAACAGCTGAAAACAGTAAGATGTAAATGTACAGCACAGGAAGTATAATGAATGTTGAACAGTGAGTAGCTGAGGAAGTTCCTCTTCGAAGCACAAACACATCAGGATAGCATCAATGCAAATAAAAATAGTCTGTGTCTAGATGGCACAGTTTAATTTATCATTCTCTCACTTAAAATAAATTATGGTCCAATGCAGTGACGTCATCAGTGAGCCAGGTGGGAACGCGAGTGAGTGGAGACTGGCATAAACAGTGTGAGAAGAGAGAGCATAGGTTAGCAATGGCATGCTTCATGTAAACTGCAAAACTGGACTGCAGGAAATAAAGCTGACTTACATATACAAAGACATGAGTAAGAGATAGGCAATGTATCAGCAGTGTCATCTCAAACTACTACAGAAAGGACAGTGGGTGGTTTTGGTTTAAGGTTTGCAGTGAAATGGAAGTTACAGAAAATCCTCAGTGAGGGTTTGCATTCAATAAAGTGGTGACTTTGTGAGGACATGCCAATCAATGTTCATAAGTGTTAGAAAGGTGCTAACAATGACACCAGTTAAGTGAAACAATTCCCTCAGATTCTGCAGGCGTAACATAAGAAGAGAAGCCTTAAGGTCTTTATTTAACAGTTCACAATTAACCATATGGATCATACATATAACAAAGTGGAGCTATATGAACCATGTTGAGGTTTCTTATAATAGAAAAAAGAAAAAACAAGTGAAAATAACCATTACTGAGCACTATACATGCTAACTAACAACATAATAGTCAACAACAAGTTGAATAAAAATGAGTATAGAGAGGAGCACATGGAAGCTGGTGACAGTAGACCTAATCCACAGAGGAGCAGTCATAAAGCTGTTGTTACTGGGTATTTTAATGCAAGCAATCAGTCCAACACAATATTTGGGAAACTAAATGAAGGATTTCACATACAAAGAAACAACTATTACAAAAGTCAGTAACTGTAGTGCAAAAATTCCAAAAGTTGTTCAAACAATCGCAACATCTTGTTAAGCTTGCGTCCCGACTTGTAGTGATAGCTGTGTACACAAAAACACACAAGAAAATGTCAGTATCATCCAAAATAACATGTATTTTAGTTATTTATTTATCATTCAGGATAATAAATGATATTATCATTATCATGAGGATAAAAAATTGTAAATTTGGGTTTGAGAAAATCTTCACATTTACCTGGCTGCTGCTGGTTAGTTGTTCCTTTCAAAGCAAAGACAAAAAACTGCTGCTGTTATCAGATATTCTCATTTAAGCAACCAAGACATGCATTCAAATGCCCACAGCAAGTTTGCAAGTTTTAGTTTTTCATAAAAACCTCCACAATATTCAAAAAAAGTCAGTAAAAACTGGTTTGAAACATATGCAAACGCTGTTCAAACACGTGTAACATCTTGTAACATCTTGTTTCCTGAAGTGCTGTGATAGCTTTGCATACAAACACAAACACGTACACAGACTTGTGAATGTGATCAAAAATAACAAGTGTTTTAATTATTTATCATTCAGGATTATCATTCATATTTTTTCAAATAGTTTCTAATATTATTGATAATAGTAAATGTGAAGTGTTATCCTTGAGTATTAGAGTTTCAAATGTAAATTTAGTTTTGAGAAAATGTTCACATTTACCCGTCTGCTGCTCAGCCATTCCTATCAAGGCAAAGACAATCACAGCCACAATGACAACAGCAGTGATGATGCCAATGTCAAGGTAAATGTCTGCCTGCAGTCCTGAAAGAATAAGAAAACTAGCAGTTGGAACAAAAAGTCCACAAATAATTACATAAATAATGATAATTATATGCATTCAAAGTTCAAAACGATAAAAAAAGGAAAGAAATATATCAAAGTTTAAAATGAATGTTATTGAAGGAAATATTTTCATAAGGGTATCTGTTAAAATTTGATTTTTCTAAGTGGTTGAAGATAAACCTGTTACAATCCTGTCACTCATTTGTGCTTAATGAACTTGTACTTAAAGTACAGTCGTATAGAAATATCAGTAAATGTTACTTCATCATTTTTGTTTCACCAAAATGATTTATCAGATTGAAAAACACATGGAAAACAATAATAATAATAATACATATATAGAGCAGTTAATTTAAATAAAAATATAATAATAAGAATTTTAGGTTGTTTCTTACGTGAATCCTCTGTCAGTGTTGAACCACTGTCTATTGGAGCTGTTGGACAAAATGATTGCGATAAATGTAAGAACACTCATTCAGTCTTACCCCCATTTTGATTAATTATTCTTATTTTGCAGTACTTTATCTGTTTTACATACCAGACAATTACTTGGTTGTTCAAACTGGAATAAACTTTGTTGGTATTATTCAGCTAGTGCCATATCTGTTGTACTATATAGTAAATATATGTAACATACCTGTTGAGGCTGCATATGTAAGAAACAAAATGATGAATCCCACTGATGACTTCATTGTGCTCAGTGAAATCAGTGAGCTGACAAATGACAAAGACTAGAATTACTGTACTACTGTTTTAGAAACACTGGTGCCAATATATAGTCTGTCTGTGGAAAGGGACCGGTTTGACCAGATAAGCTACAACAGGAAGTCCACTTTGGAAAAATTAGTTCCCCCCTTAAAAGTTGCTCAACATTTGTTCAGTGCAAAAGTTAAATGAAATTAAATTAACTGTGCAGTAAATACAGCCAATGTGAGCAGGCCTAACTTTAGTCTAGGTTTATACCCACACCCTGTTTCTGTGAAAGGATGAAAGCAGATTGTTAGGGATTTTTAAAAAATGAAATATATACCTGTATACACTGCACATATACATATATACTATATATGCATGAAATTCTTGTATTTTTGCCAATCATATTATGGAGTCATGTGACCACCAGGGAGCCTCAAGAGGGATTTGTGTGGATGTTCGTGTGAAACAACATCAGCATCTGATTCATCAATGTAAACATTTATTATGCAAACTGGAACAAAACTGAAAACTTTAACAATAAAGATAAACACAACAGAACATTTAAAATATAAAAACATTTCAAACCGAAATATCCTGGCTTCGAATATGTGATGTGTGTGTGTGTTTGAGAGAAATACATAATTAGATTGAGAGAGGATATGGCTTTCTCTCTTTGTGTGTACGTGTGTGTGCATTTAGTTCATTTCTAGCAGCAGGAGAGCAGGTCCTGCAGCATGTGACCAGGTGCTCTCTACAAATGCAGCTGCTACACTTGATGCAGGTGGAAGAAGAGCTCTTTTCAGACCTGTGCAACACAAGGTGTTGAAAGGGTGCAAAATTAAGGGAGGGCACAAGGGTTCATTTTGTTTTTAAATACTGATCAACAGTTTAACTGCTTTTCTTTTTTGATACTGCATGAAAAGAACTTTGTCACGGACACAGTTCCAGGGACTCAGGGTCCGTGAGCAGTGTGGACTACTATTGTTGTTGTTGTTGTTGTTATTTTCATTATTATTATTACTATGGTCGTGTCTTCTGCACTGCTGCTGTCCTGTGTTCCATGTTTGTGTACTGTTGGGTGTTTATGGGTGTGTACAAGTGTGAGGGTGTGGTCGTGGAGGGCACTTTCAGGCCTGGTGGGTGTGGCCCTACCACCTGACCGTCACACCCAGGAATCTCCACACACACCTGGTGCCGATAAAGCCTCGTCAGAGGAGCTTCAAAATAGTGTGGCTGAGAACTCCTCGACGCTGGATCGTTGAGTGACTTCCCGTCAGTCTCAGTTTAATGTGCAAGGTTAGTGCAAGTCTGCCGTTAGGTTTTGTACTCACCACTGCCTTTTGTATGCGTGTTTCCCCAGGAGGAATTGTGGTGTCCAGGAGGCAGCACACCCTGAGCACAACCCTGAGCAGGACGTAATTTGTTTACACTGCATAATCCACCAGGAAGCACTGTGCAAATCTGTATTGCAGCTTGATCATGTAGTGAAGCCAGTTGTAAAATGCATCATCAGTTTATTAAGTTTCTTGATGAAACTGACGCTGATCACCAGGACTTGCTTTACCACTCCAATGTCTGTCAGTTAAGTTTGGGGAAAGCATGTCAACAAGTGTGGGAGCTTAGGAAGGAGATCGTCTCATTTTTGGAGCTACTTGAGAAAGATGGTGATTTTCCTGGGCTGAGTCACACAGATTGGCTTTGTGATTTAGCTTTTCCTGTGGACACAATGACACACACGAATGAGCTGAATGTGAAGCTGCAAGGGAAAGACCCGTTTGTGCATGAAATGTACACAAACGTCAGGGCCTTCAAAACCAAGGCAAATTTATTCTCAAAACAAATGTCAAATAAGTTAGTCACTCATTTCACACTGGCTATGCTGAAAGAGGCACCTCAACATGTGAAAAACTACAGGAAATCACTGGATGATCTGCATGTGGAATTCTGCCTTCGGTTCTCTGATTTTGGGATAATTGAAAAGTCACTTCATCTGGTGTCATGTCCCTTTACGCAACACTCTGAAACAGCGCCACAGGAGTTGCAGTTAGAACTGATTGATCTCCAGTGTGACACTGTCTTAAAGGAGAAGTTTAACTCTCTTAAACTGGATGAGTTTTATGCACACTAAAGACAAATTTCCAAACATCCAGAAGATGTCAAAGAGGATGCTGGTGATGTTTGGCTCTATGTATGTATGTGAAAAGACTTTTAGTGTGATGAACAACAACAAAGCATCCCACAGATCCCAGTTGAGTGATGAACACCTCCGATCTGTTCTAAGAATTGCCACGACAAAACTAACACCAGATTTCAATGCTCAGACAAAAAAGCGTGATCAGCAACACTGTTTCCACTAAAAGTGGATGCAAGTATTAAAACTATAATTCCTTCTTAATGTTTTTGTTTAATATGTGCATCTGTTTTTTTGTTTTTGTTTTTTTATTTTAAAACTCAGTGTGGCCCCTGAGCCAAAACGTTTGCCCACCCTGCTCTATCAGCACTCTTTCAGATACTTTCTCTGTGCAGCTCCTTCTGACCTTCTCTATACTCTTACAGCAAACAGCATATCTGTAGTGCTGTTTCTAGGGAGACAGAAAAGAACACTTCAGATGCTACTTATTTCCCAATTTTCAGTTTTGTTCTATTGCTGCTCTGGTTATGCAGGAGGTCTGTATTTTTGCAACACGGCAAAATATATTATAGTGTTATAAATATGTTAATAAAATAATAGCTAGTCATTTACTTAAGTCTATGCAGATCCCAGTAGCAGTATCCCAAAAGATAATTTAAAAAAAAACCAAAACTATAATAGCTATACACAAGCAACCACGTATTTGAGCCATGATTATAACCCAACATAAAGATTTAAGAACTAGTGATTTGTTCTGTTGTCTTCTGTTTGAAGTTTCAGAAATAAAATCAAAAGTAGTCAAATCTGGCCAATTATACCCTCGACCCCAGGAGGTTAAACTATTTTTTTAAAGTAATACAATAGTTACTTTTCCTAGTAATTAGTAACTTTTCCAATATTTTAACTCAGTTACTTTTTTGAAGAAGTAACTAGTAACTGTAACTAATTACTTTTTCAAAGTAACTTGCCAAACATTGTCAGTGATACATGGTTCATCGGGTTCACTGTATCGAAAAAGCCAGTGTTTGTCATCCTAACCAAAATGAAAATCATCGCTGGGAGCTAAATCCAGAAAGTAGGGTAGACAAGCAAGTAGGTTTTCAGTGCATTGTCAGACGGCCTACAGTAGAGTGACAGATAATACCAACATTTAGGTCACTGTGTCAGTGTGTGTGTCTGGATAGCGAAAGTAACACTGCTCTGTGTTGTCATTTTGAAGAGCGTTTGTAAGTGTGTAGATGATGTTGCTGCAAGGGAGGCAATTTGAATGCATATGAGAAGTTTATGTAGTTATTAAAACACACACATACACAAAACAAAAACAGCAATTTGAGGGACAAGTTTGTCGGAATAAATAGTTGACTGACGCATACAACATGTTTTCACAAAGGAGAAACGACATGAAACCCCGATGACAACTGCAGGTTTAAAGTTACCTGGCACAACCACATTCTTAGTATTTTAGCATATTTAATCAGTTAAAATTCAAAGTCCTGTTCAAATAAATTTCAGTTCATTTTTTCACCAGCACTTAAAACTAATTTTGTTTTGTTTTTTCTTAGTTTAACATTATTTCAGATGAAGTAAACACAAGTTCTGTTGTAGTGTTCATTTTAAATTTTTGGTTTACCTCAGTACTTGTTTTGAGTGTGTCATCGCTACCTTCAGAGTTTCAGCCTTGTAGAAAATCAAGAATGATTCAGGGTAAGTGTCAGAATAAAAATTAGCAAATATGAACAACAGTCAAAAACTGGAGCTTTTATTCTTGCAAAGGAGCAAAAGCATCAAATACAAGGTTTCATGCAAGTGCTCAAAGGTGGAAATCCCCAGTGAGCTTTATCACATTTTATCAGTCCCCACCTCCTTTGCCGCAAAACTGTCACACAACAACACTTTTGCTTTTACAGGCTTCTCACAAGAACAGTTATAAGCGTCTGTCGTTTAATAAGCAGATACTGTAATACTTTTTTTTGGTAACCAGGCATGCTTACAGGCATCAAGTGTACTGAGTGTGCCCTTGACTATCATACAACTCACACTAATTAGTACATTGCGTAACATATTTTTTCCATCATTTCCCTCCTGTTTATCCAGTTATGCCCCAAATTATAACATGACACAACACACAAAACAATTTAAAGAATATACACATATACATACACATAATTAAGGCTGTGTTTATCAACAAAAACATTCAGTAATACATCTCTTCTGGTTAGGATTTTCGATATGCTCATCCTAAATGCTTTTCACTTCAGCTACTGCTGTTATCATACTCTTTGTTCTCCAGCTCATGATTATTTGGGTCCATGCGTGGAATTTAGATACATCTCTGCTCACCCTTTCTTTTCTTTTCATTTTTTTTAGTGGGTGCTGTCTTCGGTGAGGGCTTTAAAATGTTTAGGGGATTATTTTTACTGGTTCTATTCCTAGTTTAGTCATTAAATTTCTCCCCTGCAAATTTACAGGGCCTAAGGATGAGCAACAGACTCCAGCACTCACAGTTTGTTTCTCCAGACTCCCTCTTTTCCATTTTCACTGGTTTTTTTTACCCATTTCTTTAGACAACATTAGCCCGTGTGATTCCACTATCACAGAGTAATATTATGTCTTTTCCCCAATTTTTAGGGTCACATGTGGTATATTATCCTCCATGTGTAAAATGTCTTTCAAATTGGCTCAGCAGATCATCTCTTTTTTTCTCCCCTCCTGCATCTGCTAACAGTCCCTGGTCATATAAGCAAGTCTTCCTCCCTTCTTTGCCAGCTTTACTTCCCCCTCTTTTGTTCTTTCCTAAGGAAGCTCGTGCCCAATGTGCGTGACAACTGCAGTTAAAGTAGTCTTCACTGTCCCTTTCTCTACCATAAATTCCTTTTGTCTTTTGATTTGCATAATTCCTTAGTTTGTATTTGATTTACTAGGTTTTTGCATTTCCTTGCATCTAGCTTCTTTTGAAAAAACCTATTTGCCCAACAACAACAATTTATTATTATTACTTTTGCTTTTAACGTGTACAAGCTGTCCTCTAGTCCCGGACTAGAAAAGTCGGAGTCCCGGACTCCCACCATTCGCTCCTCTGGTTTATGGAGATCATCACTCGCCCAGTCGCCTCTACATCCTCAAACAGCTTTTTTGGAGAACGTCTTTCTTTTTAAGGAGTCCCAGACTCTAGTACCTCAAATGCAAGTGCTCAAAAGGGGAAGTTCCCAATGAGCTTTTTATTACATTGTATCATTCTCACCCTCCTTTGCTGTAAAACTGTCACACAATAACACTTTTCCTTCTACAGGCTTCTCACAAGAACAGTTATAAGTGTCCTTTTATGAACTGATAATGCTTTTTTTTTGCAAGCAGGCGTACTTTCATCCAGTAACTGTACTGAGTGTGCTCTTGACTGTCACACTGCTCACACTAATTAGTACATTGCATAATATATTTTTCCATCAGTAACTATGCTCCAAAGGCTTGCAGAGTGTAAACAATAGCACGTAATTTCTGAGTCCATGTGGATGAAGGGAACCAGCTTGCACTGTAAAGCAATGCTGTCTGTTTACTGAGTAGAAAGGTTATATCAAAACTTATTCAGATACTTTCATGAGCATGGATAGCTGTATAACAGTAAAAATGATGTATAGAATATTCAAAGGATGCTTTATAAAGGTACCATACATCCATAACCTAGAGACATGCAGCATATGTCACAAGCTTTGGTAAGTGATTCAGCACAACCTGAACAACAACAGGATAAAAGACTGCAACAATATTCACAATATTTGTTGCAACATTTTGTACAGCGTGTTTCCTGGATTGAAGTCATACCTGCACACACACACACAAACACACATATCAATGCCCCCCAAAACAATAAACAGTTTGAACAATTTAATCATTCTGGTTAATTTTTGTAATATTACCCACTTTAACCTAGTTTGCACACTAGTTTATATCAACAGCAAAGTCAAGAATACTCACCTTTATTTAACTTGACACGTTCGTCTAAAAAGAGTAAATGAAGTCAAAGTTAGTCAAAGAGGGAATAATGTTTTTTATAAGATTGAACTCTAGCATTAAAATCTCGCATACAGTGAATATGAAAGATGATGTTGTCAACTCTCAAATGTGTGTGTTTTTTTTTAAAAATATACTTACTATCCTGTTCCTGGTCAGACATTCCTATCAAGGCAACGACAATCACAGTGACCATGACAATGCCAGCTATGATGCCAATGTCAAGGTAAATGCCTGTTTGAGGACCTGGAAAAATAAATGAAAGCATTGGCTGTAAAAACATGTTTTACTTGACTAAAAGTTTACATTTATCTATCTATCTACATTTATCTATCTATCTA